CCTTGTTTCATGTCTGTAAGTCATCTGGTTTTCTGTTTTGTCCTCTCTGTGCTTTGCACTTTCCACTGGGAGGACAAGCCAGGTGTCACAGAAGTGTCTTTGCTCTTAGAACCTGTAACATCAGTGAAGGTCCCATAAATGGGAACATTGCAAAGTTTGCATCTCTAGAGGTCCACCTAGTCAGGAATGAAACCCAAAGAGTTTGAATGTAACAGATGTCAGAGTAACATGTAACTTTTTTTTTTTTTTTGTGTGTTTGAACAAATCATTAAAAATTTTGCAAGAAAATCTCATGAAGGATACAGAAATATTATGGGAAGAGGCAGCTTTTCCAGATGGGCTTTGGTGCTTGTTTTTGTCAGGTGATACTGGCAGATGTCACCATAAAAGTACTTTTGCCACTTGTAAAAGTAGTATTAGTAATGCAAGAGCTGTGAAGGCCTAAGAGGTGTGTTAGGCGATATCTATAGGGAGAAGGGACACATTTTATTGGGTAACTGATATAGTTGGGAAAAAAACATGAACTTTTGAGGATGGGAGTCCTGCTTTCTGCAAGTTTTCTGGAGTTCTGAAGACACAGCTCGAGGGCTATACAGATCTTTCAAAATTCACCTTTGATATCACAGTGAGACTTTCAAAAGGGTTCTGTGGTTTTGGGCAGTTTTTTGAAGCAAAACTCCTGTACCCTGTCCTTAAATTGGTGCTTAAAAATTGATGCTCTGTTGGAGCTGATCTCCAAAGACTGACTAAGATCTCTTTGGGGCAAGATGGGGGAATGCATTTGGGACCCCTAGAGCTGATCCTTCAGGGGAAGTTTTCCCTGGTTCCCTGCTAGCATGAAGGATACTGGTAAAAATGGCAGAGGTGTTCCATTAGAAAAGTCTGCACAGGTGATCTTTTCTCTTCTAGAACTTCATAAAAGTTGCTATGACATGTTTTATATGGTATTGTCATCTCTGTGAAATCGTGGCTATAGCTTAGTTTGTACTTGTGCCAAAGATGATATTATGGGCCCTTGGGTGAATTCACTGACTTTACACTGTAAAGTGTAATAATTTCAGAAACAGACAAATTTGGACCCAGTGGATATGCTCTGCATACAGTTGTGTTACAGACCTTGGCATTTGCCAGCAGCCCATCCAGTAATGCACACCCAGTGTTTGTGCATCCCCTTCAGGCTCAGTGCAGTAGAAATCTAAATGTTTTTGCCACCCTAGATAAATGCAGTAACTGGAAATATGAGTGTATACATATATATATAGCTCTAGGTCTATCAGATATTTGAATTTTCTTTCAGTAATAAACCCTTGGGAGAAGTTTCACTTCAGTGTCAAGCTTTGATCCAAGTGGATATACCAAGTTTAAAGAAGTTTAGTTTGAAGTCTTTAAATTAGCATTATATACCTCACAAATAATTCCTCCAAGTCACTGATGGCTGATGTGCTCCTAAATTTCGGGGATGGTGGTGAAGCAGACACTGCAGGTAGATGGATTTCAGGACAACTGAATGGTGACAGCAGCATATGCTATTGGGATTTTAATAATAGCAGCAATAATAATAACAATAACATCTATTTTAACATAAATATAATTTAAATAAGTGGGTTCAAATGTGTGGGGCATATCTGTTCTGCAGAACACTGAGAGAGTTATCCTGGCTCTGGACAAATGATGATATGGGCAGACCTGCATGACAAATTAATTACCCCAGGAAGTAAATGCTTCAGTTGAGAGGTAACACTGTGCTAATACAGGACAAGGGCATCTCTGTGGATATATCTTGGGTTGTTTGAAGGGGCCTGGGACTTTAATATACGACAGAACACTTCCCTGGGGATGTGGTTTTAGGCTCCAAGCCTGGCACTTTAATCAGCCACACATCTCCCCTTTGCTGCACAGTACCTGTGGTGGTGGGGAGGGTGCTCATTTCTCCATTCTCTGGGAACAAGTGGAGGGAGAATTTACTCCTCAGGTTCTGAAAGCTCTGTGTGAACTTCAATATGACGGTGGCAATTTTAATCAAAGAAATGTACTGTGGATGTCACCTGCATTTTTATCCAGTTCTCTTTGACAGAAATAGAATTCAGAGTTCTGCTAGCGACAGAAAGGGCAGAAAAGCCCACTCCTAGGCTCGTTCTGCCTGCTGTTATTCTGCTACCATAATTACCTCTAAACATAATTATGGCCAAGACAAATGACATTTTTAGCTTCGGTCTTTAAAGACAAGAGTTAATTTCAGGCTTTGACCAGAACTATGTTAATTAGCCTCTACTCACTCCCTTTGTATGGAATTACATCACCCAGGACTTAGCATAGGTTGCCTTTCCTGTATCTTTGAGTAATGAAAGGACACGGCATGGCAACCAAATCAAGGGCTGCTGCATTAACAAGGCCACTTTTCTGCCCATTTATCATCTATTAAAGGTGCACTAGTTTGTAAAGTAACACCACCTTCAGCAGGGCCGCCACGAACAGCTCCTCATTTATTTTCTGCATGGTTTAAGTTGGAGTTAGACCCACCTTGTAGCTCAGAGGTGACAGCCAGTAAGAAAAAGTACACTAATTGAGACATCTCAAGGGAGAAATAGAAGAAAACTGAAAAGGTAATTAGAATGAGAGGGTTTCAAGCTGGGTAAGTAAAATCGAATGGAGGTGCATATTAGGGGCTGTTACAGATGGGAAAGAAAGTACTTGGAGAATAAAAAAAGAAAAATGAATATTAGAGAACAGAGCACCCTTTTCACACTTGAAGAATGGAGCAGAGAGATAAAAAATAATGTAACAGTGGAGATACAGGCTGGGAAAAAAAAAAGCTCCAGAAGTATGAAGGACATATTTAAATGTGAGAGAGAAAGAATGGAAAAAATAATAGAGCAGATCAATTACTAGAGCTGTAGCCAAGGAAGGAGAAACTGTCAAATGAATATTTCTGGAGCTGTGGTAAAGTATCCTTCCTTTGTGGGGGATGTAGCATGTGTTTGGTCTGTGTGGGAGGGGTTTCTTTTGGGGGCTAACTCAGTATTTGAATTTGCTGCAGTGTCTGTATGCCAAATGGAGCACTGGGGTGAATGCCTGCCTGGGCAGAATTGGGTTAATTAGATGTTGTGTGACAGAGTTTATAGCTAATGCCAGACCTTCTTCTGGTGATTGAAGTTTTAGCCCCTCGGTGATTTTCCCTGTGTGTCTCTTTTGCTTTGGTGTCCACACTTAGGGACATGTTTAGGTCCAATCTCAATTTTTCCCATTTTAAACCTTCCCTTACCTGCTGGAAAAGAATCACCCAGGTTACCCCCAGGTCATTTCCACCCTACACACAGGGAAGCTGAAGTCCCAGAACATTCCCTCAGGGAGATGCACACCCAAACCAAAGCAGCCACATGAAGAGAAACACTTTTTTTGTTAAGAGTGAAAGATGGCCATTGCTTTCCAATGTGGTCACAGATAGTTAGGCAGGATTTCTCCTTTTGCCTCTTCTGGAGGCAGGAGGCTGGAATCATCTTCGTTGGTAGGTGGAGAAGTTGGCGCATAATTTCCTCTGGCTGCAAGGCAGGAATCCTGGAATGGTTTGGGTTGGAAGTGATCTAAAGATCATCTCCTAAGTCCAACCCCCTGCCATGGGCAGGGACACCTTCCACTATCCCAGGTTGCTCCAAGCCCTGTCCATCCTGGCCTTGAACACTTCCAGGGATGGGGCAGCCACAGCTTCTCTGGGCAACCTGTGCCAGGGCCTCACCACCCTCACAGGGAAGAATTTATTCCCAATATCCGTTCTAAATCCACACTCTTTCAGTTTGAAGGAATCTAAATCTTTCCCCTTTCAGGGAGGTGGTTCAAGGGAAATCAGTAGAGTTCTGTGTCTGGTTGCCTTGGTGGGACTGGACCAGCAGTGTTTGTCCTCATTAGAACTTGTTTGTACAGTGCAGGGCCAGGAGTTGAACTCGATGATCCTTGTGGATCCCTTCCAACTCTGGATATTCTATGATTCATATAACGCTATTTGTAGCTACTAAGTTGTATCCTTGAAATTAATATCCACTCACTGTGGAAATGGAATTTTCTGAGCCAAGTACAGTATTTGTGGTTTTAATTGATAGTCTCATTAGAGCATTTTTCTCACGCATTGTCTGTTAGGTTTTTCTTTTATAAGCTTCACTGATAAAATTGTCAGAAAAGCATTTGTTGCTTTATAAAAGTTATACTGGATCCTGCTGAAGATTTCAAGAACTTCAAAGCTGTTAATAACACTGGCATTTTTTATCCACTGAAAATTTTTGAGCACTTGATCAAAACCTCTTTTCATGTTTCCATTTTAATTTTTTTGTATTTAAGAAAATCTGCCTAGAAACTATAAAAATTTTAATTACATTTCAGAGCCTGACTCTGTTCGTCCTGAGAAATAACTAAGGGCACTTGAAAATTTGCTTAACTGAAAGAAGAAAAAACACACCAAAACTTTAAAAAAGTAAAACCCTCAGATGTTTCAAAGAGCAAGTGTATCAGAAATTTAAAATAAAACAGAAAACCACCTGGTGAAGTTAGACATACCCTGGCTATTTCCCATTGTTATAAAAGCCATTTGTAGGGCAGGAATGTTCATGGACAGTCAGGATTGAATGTTTGGTACTAGGTGCTATCTGAAGAAAGAAAGAAAGAAAAAGGTAGAATCTTTGCCCCAGATTAATTACTTTACTTATGGAAATCCTCTGACCATGTTCTCAGGATAACAAATAAATACATTCTTTTATTTTGGAAGATGTAGCCAGCCTTCTCCAGAAGGAAGCGGTGGCAAGTTCAGTGGAAAACGACAGTGCTCTTAGTCCCAGAGTTTCAAAGATCACAAACTCCCTCTAAGGACTTAAAAAAACAAAGAAAATCCTGTGACAGAGAATATTCTTCTTCATTCATCATTTGAAGCCCGGCCTCTAAAAGTGTTAAGAACAAGTTATTTTCAATATGAGTTAGCCCCAGGGGATTTGATAAAAGGCGCTTTTCTTTTCCAGCTGGCTAATCAAAAGTGGTCTGCAGAAGGCCTCAGTGACTTGGATGGCAGTTCTGAGACTCCCCCAGCCTCAGCAAACTTTTCTGATCCAAGGAACAAAAAAAAACAAAGATGTGTCACAAGCCTGACTGGATATGGGAACTGGGAAGACAGAGCTCATTCATCAAGAAGCCTGGAAGTCTCCCAGGGAAAGGTGGAAAACAAATTAGTGTCTCATCTTGAAGCTCCTATAGGTTGTCCAGGACTGAACTGTTCCAAGTAAGGAAAACAACTTTCATTTCTGGGAGACATCTGTCTTGCTTCTACTCTGTTACACAGAGCTTTCTCAAAAGGAGAGGTAGTCAGGACTTAGAGTCTGCCTTTCTTAGGCAGATCCTATTTTTCCAGTGCTAAATGAGCATTTACCAGAGCTGCCTTCTGAGGTTGGTGTTGAAGATTTGGGATTTGCAAAGTTGGCTTTCCTTTCCTGGAAGGAAATGCAGACCCCTTTTGTAACACCCCTTAAAAAATGTCCTGTTCTATTCCTTGTGGACATCTCCTCCTGGCACCAGCTGGTGATCCACTTACAAGCAGGAAGATGGATAGCTCTGAGGAAAAGCCAGCAGGCACAAGTGACTGGTTTCCAAATAAAGGAATCCTGAATGTAGAAATTTTTTTCTCTCATGTCAGCAATTTTGTTATTTGCTTCCTCATGCTGCTTGGGGGTCGCCCCTTAGGCACTGTCCATCAGTGCATGGGGTTCATTTGAACATACTTTCATTTTCTGCAGCATTGGCCCATGCAGCCATACACTAATACCACTGTAGATGCCATAGGCATATATATATATACACACTCAAATTAGCTGTTCTGTTGATAATGATCAATTAATGTGATTTCGTTGCTTGGTTACACTCACAAAAAATCCGAATTGGAGCAACATGTGTCAGAATAGACCCGAAGTATTTCAAGGTTCACTTATAGTCCAATTTACATTTAATAATCAGGCAGTTGCTAAATGAACTTCACTGTTCTCAGAGCAGAATCTGCCTGGCAGGGACTGTGACCCTGTCACCAGCCTGTCCCTGGTAACATTCGCTTTCCGTGGAAGCTGTGAGCCACATTCCTCGAAAGCACCTCCTTTTTCCATCTGTCTCTTGTTATCTGTGTTTCTGCTAAGAAATTTCGTCAATTATTTCCTAGTACTTGAGTTCTGCTTTTTATTTGGGTTTTATTTCTTATGTATGATAGTACATGGTGTGTATATAAAATATGTATCTATGTTTATATATTTATTTCCTTCATGCCGTGATATTATTGTCTCTGTCCACGTCCAGATCTAGACAGAAAAATGAGATGAACAAATGGAAACCAGTGTCATTAAATGTCCCCAAAAGCTTCACCCAAATGTTCTAAGCAGGTGGAGAGAACAGATAACATGTGCCCTCCCTGACTTCACTGCTGGAGGGGGACACATGCAATAGAGTTTGATGTCCTTCAGCAGATAATCTTGTGATTTCTCGTTGCATAAAAAAACCTGTCTGGTTTTTGAATATCTGCTTGCCCTTTTGAAAAGTTTATCTCAAACATCATCATTAATTGGGCTTTATAGTCCAATAATAATTACTAATACTGGGCACCACTGCCTGTCAGCCTGTTTATTCCCAGATACTTGTCTGCCTTAGTGGTTTTGTCTTGCTCTTTTTTCTTTTTTTTTCTTTCCCTTCTAAGCAGTGGGAAAAACACCTGAATAATTCAGCAAGAACCTTTTACATTATGAAAAATATAATCAGCTGGCAGCGCTGAGATATCTTATTTCTACAGGATGCTAACTCAAGTATTACAAGTGACTGCAGGATTAATGCCAGAACGCTGAAGGTGTGGATACACATCGTCCTCTTTGTTCAAGGCAGTCTCAGCCTTGTGGAGGGCTGAGAGAAGACTTTGTATTCCTCACCGTGCCTACCTAGTGCCACTTAATAATTTAAATCCATTAATCGCTCAAGATGAACACTTAGTGTTGCTTGACTCACCACCACCAAGAGAAGGGTTTATCCAGGTTAAATAAAAGATCTTAAAATTTTGTCATCTTGCAAGGGCCACATCTTTCATTGTGAGAGGCTTTAGTTTTTATTGGGGAGTGGTGGGGGTGTTACTATGCCAAAAGTGCTTAAGTAAACAATCATATCCATACATCACAAGTAGATGTCTGAGAATATTAGCTGTTTATTTCTCTGACATACTCTGAGGAGTCTATGGGGGGCTCTTGCAGGAGTCAGGACCTCAATGTAATATACAAGCTTTGATTCTGATATTTCCCTTGATAACCGTGCTCTACCATATTGGGGTCGGAAGTCAGCAAAGGTTCATTGGCTGTTGTAATGCTCACTGTCACCAGTAATAAGTACAAAGGACTTGCTTTAAAAGCTGGCTTATAAAACTTTAAGGAAACTTGGATTGCTTAAGTGAACTTCCAAGGCTCTTCGGGGGCCAAGTGCACTTTGGTTGTCTACTTATATTAATTTCACAGAGTTTAAAGGGTCAAGCAATGCAGTTGGTGATGCTTATTAATTTATGAAACACAGAACCTTGCACTATCTCGCTTTGACCACTTTCCCTCTCCTTTTAGAAAATTTAATATACATTAAAGCTTGCTAGACAGGGGCGCCCTAAAGGATTAAGCCCAAAGTTCACAGCTGGACTAAAAGGTTCAAAGACGTTGTATCCGCAACACTGATTTGATTCCAAGTGACGTTCAAACAACGGAACCAAATTGTGGATGTTTGAATGTGTAAGGAAACAGCAATTAGAGGAATACCACAGAATGGCAAAGGATTAGGATTTATTTTCCTTAAAGTTGTAAAACTGATTACAGCCTTATTCTTTCTTTCATGGGGGGATGTGTTTGATCACATCAGCTTTTGGGGTCACTGGTTGTCAAGAAAATTTTTTGGTGTTACAACACAGCTTGCCAAGCTCTAGAGGCTCATACAGACCCAGTAACTTTACAGAATATATTTGATTGTCGTGGCCATGTGAACTGGGTAGGAAAATATTAACCAGAAGGGAAGAAGAGAGTGAAGGGGACTGAAGAAACACGGTTAGGATTTAGAAACCTGACATAATCGTGTTCAGAGGTATTTCTGCATTCTGTTTACTTACTTTTGAATTGCTTTGGTGTCTTGTCCAGGGGAGATAATTCCAGAAGTCATTCACACCTGGGCTGCAAATTCAATACTGCATTCAGGTGACAAAGGGAACGTGATTGCTGAGCTACTCAGAAAATTGGAAATCAAATTGGCCGTGATGGTTGGTCTATGCGGTCTCCTTTTGGAATCAACAAGAGGGAGAAGAGAATGAAGGACAGGAAAATAAAGTGTGTCCTGCTGTATGGAAAATGAGTTTATGTAGCCAGAGTTTGTAAAGGGGGAAGCAAATTTCGTGTTATGCCAGCTCTGATTCCTGAGGCCTCGTGGAACGCTCACCTTGAGGAATGAGTTGTACTTCACTGGAAATTTGCTGTTGCAAAGAGAGACTCTTAACCCTGTCCCAGTGGTGAAGACTGTTGATATTGCAGCTGGGCCCCAACAGCCTCAGAGAAGGTTGTGGTGCATCACATGCTGGGAGAAAGTCTGTGACTGGAGAGAATTCATAGCTTTTCTGAGTGAAAAAGGACAAAAGTGTGTGTGTGGGACAAAACAGCTGGGAAGACTTTTATGTGATCCATGGCACTATGTTTCCATCCAGAGAACAGAACTCACATGTCCAGGACTTCAGCAGCCTTACCCATGCATTTTAAACCCTTTAAACAGAGAGAACAATGCAGAAAATCCCAGAGGACACATGAGAAAGGGGGTTGTACCTAATCCTTTTATAATTTCTTTGCATTTACTTGCTAACAAAATATATTTTTCTTTAGAATGACCTCTGAGATTTTATACTATGGGGTATTTGGTTTAAAATGTACTGTAACCTTCTTCTTTTTTAAAATTGATCAGATCAGCCTTGAACACTCAAAGAAAAATCTGCCTGCTCTGAATATTGCCTGAGGATTTAGAAAGGTCTTTCTTGGAAACAGAAGAACAAGATGAAACAATTATCTGTAAAGCATGGTAAGAGAGAAAAAGAATAAAGGAATGAGTTATGTTTGACTTGTCTTCTTCCAAGAGATGATTTTTTTCTGGTTTTTAGAGTAGACTTTAGATGTGGGAGATTTCCACTGTCTTGCTAGAACAAGTTTCAAAACATGGGCATTTTTCCTCCTGCTCTGCTAACTTGTAAACCAAAAAAAAAAGTCTTTGTTTGGGCAACTTGATCTGCAGTCAGACTGTATTATTTATTTGCTGCTTCAGTTGTAGGAGAAACTTTTGTAATGACAGGTGTCAGTCAAATAAATGTTTGCTTTCTTCCACCTGAGCAGAAGCAACACTAAAATTTCAACTGTGTTTTTAATAAACAAGGAGCCAATGGATGTGGGAGCAATGGAAACCCTCTGATCACTCACTCTGGAAGGGCTGATTGTCAGCCACACCTCGATGGCATCTGCTTGGAGATATAATGAAGAAAGATTATCATTGCTGTAAGTGACTGCAGTGACTCTGGTCAGCGAATAATAAAGACATTGTCTTAGTGATCAGCCCTGCCTCCCAGGTGCTAACACTGTTAAGTGATATCTCAGTGGGATTTTGGGTCCTCATTTATGTAACTGCAATAGAAAACCAGACATAATTAATTTCATGCCGTTCCCCGCACTTCTAAACTGAAAACTCAGTCATGACCAAAGTCAGCTTATTTCTGCACTGATGACTTAAAGAAGCAGTGAAACACCTTTAAACAAAGACCTTGGTTTAGTATTGATAGATCAATGCAAAATGTTGGCTGTATATGAGTTTTCTCCAGAGCCTCCTTTGGATCGTGGTGGGGTGGAGGAATAGTGAGCCATTAGCTGTGTCCTGTGGAAATGTGGAAATAAAATACTCTTTTGGTATTCCAGCTCTTCCTGGTGTGCTGGCTGCTCTTGGGAATTGTACAGAATCCTTCTGTGTCTGTCCTTACTCCCCTTGATTTGTAGCTTCAACTGTGTCTGAAAGGAGCTTAAATATATGGCTCCATCTTCATAAAAAGGGACAAAAGTGAAAAATAAAATGGACCAGCCCAGTTCTGTTGGAGCATAACTAAAGCAAGGAGCAAGGAGAACTTCTAGATGTGCTTCTGTTTTACAGACCCAACCAAGCATCCCAAGGACTGCCTTGTTTAACTGGAAGTGGCCCCTGATTGTCCTGAGAAGGGTACCTCAATATCAGAGTAGGTTTCCAAGGCTTGGGAAGCTGACTGGAAGAATTAAAAGGTGCAAGAGAACTCTCTGACTTTGAAAGCCTTTTAACATCCCCAAATTTCTGTTGTGGTCACAGATGATACAGTGCAGAGTTGATAAATTCACCTGCTCTTATATCAGGCAATTCTGTAAAGTTTCTTTGGATTTCTTGCCTCTCTTGGTGACCATATTCCAGCTGAGTCCAGAACAAAGGGCAAAATCCCGCTGAAACAATCTGTCCCCAGGGGCTGGAGGCTCCTGCCTCTAATGTACAGATAAAAGTCAGTCATACCAGCTGCAG